CACAAGCAAAAAAACAGATACTGCGTTAGCAAAGAAGGGAAAACTGAGCTTACTGGTTTCTTGATTTACAGTCAAAAAGCTAGAATGTTTAGAATTTATTACTTACGAAGTCGTCACGGCTCGCTCGTTTGCTTCGCGGCCTAAAAAGAACGCTCCGCTGGCTAAGAAACTCTTGAGGTCGACTTGTATCAGTGTAGCAATATGTAGCATGTCTATCAAAAAAACTTTAAGACGGGCAGCGGGTACGCGTTGATGTTGAAAGGTCGTTGCACGTGAATTCACATGTAACATAATCCTTGACTATTAACGTGACAAACTGCACAGCTTTTCAAAATAACATTGAAATTCTTTCTTCAAATTAGAATGGTTCATTAGTTAGTTTTTCAAAGGAAATTGTTACTTTTGCTCTGACAGGCGTAAAGTACGGTCGGCGACGTAAAACAATAGTTTTGTATTTTAAAAAATCGCTGAATAAACACGGGAGTCACTCTTTTATGTTAATTAAATATTTTTACCTGTTTTTTACCGCTGTGTCTGCGAGGCTAAAACATAACTTAAGATTGTTATTCCAGCAAAATACGATGTATAAAAAAAGAGAGACGACTTCTGTGATTGTTTTAGAATCGGGTATAAATCTATAAAGTGTCTTTCGTGTCGTGACAAGTCAGTTTTTTCTCAGTCAATCTTGAGCGAATTTTCTTTTCAACCTAAATAAAAATGGTTAGTAAAAAAAATAGTGCCCTTATTTTTTACCCAAAAATTTTTGTAAAAAATACATAAACAGACCAGAATGACTTTTCCATTTAAAAAACATGAAATATTCGGCGGCGTTGCCCATGTTTCTCATATGGCGCGAAAACAAAATGCGGGCTTTTTTTCGGACGCTCAGGAGGTTAAAGGATGTGAATTTTTATGAAAAAAATATTCACAAAATGCTGCTTGACTTGTTTAGGAAATAATTTATTTAATATTTAATAATAAACTAACAGCTCACTGATTTATTTGTTTGGGCTAACAACTTGGAGGCCCGGGCACCCCAGCTAAAATGTTTTGGAGACCGAAGGGCTCCCTGGAAATTTTATTTGCGTGGCCATCTTGATCTTTTAGGTTAAATTGCTTGGGAGCCCAAAGGGCTTCCTGAAATTTTCCCTAGAGCGCAACCTTGCAGCCCTTTAGTTATTGGAAGCGGTATGTGATACATTACATGGTATTGTTGAATGTGGAAGTGCATTTTTTGAGGAAATTAGTAAAGGGAATGCAAATTTTAGTGAACTACCCCATACTCTTAACATATATGGTGGTAATATTGATGTAACTTTTGTTTCACGTAGCAAAGGAACCCTTGCGTGTAACTCATCTTCTATAGTGTATTAGGCTGCGTGCAAACGGACGCAACAACGCCCAACATTATTGCGCCAACAATGTTGGGAGTTGTTGCGTTCATGTTGGCAGTGGTGTGCAAACGGACACAACAACTCCCAACAATGTTGGGACCTGCAGTGCATCGTGGGAAGGATACAACGCATAAGTCTTTGTAAACCATGCGTAATGAGTGTGCGCCGGCCCAGACAATGTTGGAAGAGCTGTGCAAACGGATCTAACATTATTGCGCTACGCTTCGGCGATCACGGAACAAAAGAAATGTTGGAAGTTTTTGGCTGAAAAGTTTGACCGGTTTCAATCTTTGCGCAACAACATCCAACAACATGCAACAGGGTGTGCAAACGGACGCAACATCAGTAACATCCAACAAAGTTGGGAGTTGTTGGCCAACAATGTTGTTCCGTTTGCACGGGTCTTTAGTCCTTAACAGAACATCTCCGTCTCTCCTGCACACATTTCTTGTTGTTACACTACTCAACTTTCCATTGCCGCCATTCAACATACCGAAAAAATTCTTTCTGACAACAACACATCCCGCGTAAACACCTTCGGGCGTCTTCTTGTTCTTTATGTTACTGGTTACCAGTAAGATATAGAATTAATTTTAAAATTTTATTACTTACTTTCAAAGCCCTCTATGGCATGGCACCTAGTTACATCATTGATTTAATTCATACTGAGACTAATACGCGCTATTTGCTGCGCTCTAATGAAGGTGTTCTATTAAAGCATCCGTCAGGAAAAATGAAAAAGTCATTTGGTGACAGATCCTTCAGTGTGGCTGCGCCCACTTTATGGAACGCTCTTCCTGTTAGCCTCCGAATATTAAATATATTTGTATACTTTTAATATTTGTATAGTTTTTAGGTTATTTATTGTTGTAATGCGCTTTTGATCACCTAGCATGTTAAAAAGCGCACTATAAATGAATAAATTATTATTATTATTATTATGTTTTTGTAATTTCTACTTGGTGATCAGATCAGGTGTCAATTCATGAGAATGTAAAATACAGAAACTGAGACTTATCCGGAACAATCCCGAACAGTAAATTGGCCGCCAAACAGAATTTAAAAATGACGTTTGAGAACTCAATATATTGTACCCGTGAATCGGCTAACACTCAAAATGTCAGCACATGTGACAAATCCGTTTAGTTAGCCTGCGCGGGATCGAGCTGCAGAAACAATGGCCTCCCACGGTCCCCACGAGAAAAGCTTCAACTTTTTACAGTTCTCTCCCTACGTGTGAAAGGTAGCTAAAGGTCTCTCCTTACAAGAAAGGAATATACTATCTACTGTAGATCGCTAAGTAAACAGAAACGTTTTCACTTGGATACCGATAGTTAGAAGGGCTTTAAATGCAATATCCGTCAGAAATAAAACTGAAACTTAACTTACCTTGCCAGAAACATAACATTGCGACATAACTGACCAATCAGATCAATAACCAGAGCATAATACTATCAACTGACTTGGTACAACCCACTTTCACAGAAACAAAGGTATTAAAAACCCCAAAAATTGACCCTAGAAAGGCCATAATTTTTGGAATTTCCGGTTAGATCTAATCGGTCACGTGACACTGTCATGTTATATTATGGGAAGCAGGTGCGTTGTGGAAACTCCTGGTTAAAAACAACGCCAATCGTTTCTTGTTTGGTAGGTATTTTTATTCATAACTGTAGAAGTTACTATATACAGCCCTGGCTTTAAAAAAGCCCAGTCACAGGCCAATGACCCCCCATTGTGGGGGTCTTGTTGTGTATGGGATGAAACTGTTTAGAATGAGTTCTTTCTTCCTGTCATAGTTGTTCCTAACTCAAACTTTTATCACAGGAACTACTTTGATTTTGAAAAAGCAATGAAACCTAAAAACTGGATTTTTGTAAATACAAGACTGCAAATACACCTACTATAGACTTGAATATGAAAAGACACCTCACCAAATCAGTTTATATTTTAGCCTGCAGTGCAGGCGTTTTCTTCGGATACGCGAATGTTTTTGCTCGCGAAAGCGCCATGTTCAAACTCCCGAAGAGAGGAGGAAATGGGGTGAGTCGAAGGGAGCGGGGAGAGGGCGGAAAGAGAGACGAGAAAATCACATCTGCTCAGTCCAAACATGGACTGAGGAACTGAACCCTCCAGAGCATAATCTACCCGTCAGAAAAAACGTATTGGAACAATCAGTATTTTGGCATGAGGTAAAAGTGGTGTAGGTTTTAGCACTGCGAGCAAATCTTGTCCTGATGCCAGTGTAGAAATCGCTTTGACTTTCTTATTGCGTTATACACGCGACATTCCCAGCAGCTCCAATTCCAAGAGACTTGCTTCGACAGCAGGAGTTAAAATTCGAATTTACGTCCGGCATTTCTGAATTCAGAATAATTCTTTCCCGCAGTTCCGTGCAAACGAAAACGGAATAATCAATGTTGCCGGTTTTCAGTGTCACGCCATCCAAAATAGATCAAAAATAAAAATCAAAACCATTCGACAGATAAAGTCCATCAGGGAAATAAAAGGAGGTAAATATACAAAGACCCTCGCCAAGATTTGGGTCGAAGGAATAGTTCGTATACGAGATATCCGAGGAAATGTTTTAGCCAGATTTATAGAGCTTTGTATGGAGAGGCCATGCTGGAGCTCATCCTGATGAGCTCCAACATAGCGGACGGAAACCAACAGAAACATTTGTTAACGAGTTTTGATACAAAAGCGTGAATTTACTCCTAGAGGAACGCATAAACATTAAAGTAATACTTTTTCCAACACTTTAACTGTTTAGATAGCAAAATTCCTCGAAAAAAGACACTTTTTAACCTAAATGACAGCTCTCTTGGCCGTCATGTAAATGCTGCGTCAAGCAAAAGCTTAGAAATTCAAGCGTACTCTGTTACAAAACAAACAACCCTTTTGAAGCGAAAATTTGTTTGAAAACTAATTTTCAGCTGCTCTTATACACCATGAAAGTAAAATCTAAGTAGACTCGATAGTTTTGTAGTTTGAATTTTAGTGACGTCATGTGAAAACCAACAATAGACTTACAGTTAATTGGCAGGCATCAATCTAATTCCCCTATGCTGCACCAATCAGGAGCTCCGTTTGCCATTGTAAGGAGTTTCCCAAAAGAACAATGATATCGGGCAGGCGTATTTTTTTTCTCCCCTCCCCCTCCCCTCTTTCCTTCTTTCGCCCGCGCATCACCCTAGGGGTTACTATTTTTCCTCTCCCCAATCTTCCTCGGTCATAAAATCAAAGATGGCGGCTACAACAATACGAACATGAACAAGCTTTCGCCCACGCAAAATACGCCTGCACTGCAGGCTATTTATATTTAGAATAAAAAGCTTACATTTTCATAAGACAAAAATGTTTTCTACCTATTTCTAAACGGCCAAAGGCTAATTATTATAGCCTGTTAACAGTCTCTCTGTTTGGGGAAAGGTTCACCCTTTTCCCAAACAGAGAGGCTGTTTACAGGCTAAATCATTATAACATTTCGAACTGCCTTTCTTATTTTTTTCTCAAGATATAAACTTGATAACTCTACTTCCATATAGCTATTCGCTAATTTTTCTGTTCTTGTTTTTACCCTTATATGTTTTAGACAAGACCCTCATGGACAAGGTTCTACAAATGATTTACGCCGGCATGATTGCTGCAGATTTTCTTTCGAAAACTAAACGATTTGTCCAAGCTATCGTGCTGTGGAAAGAGTGCTTAACAATCCTAAATAACAAACACTTAGAACAAAAAAATGACCTTGCCAGAGAAGTGAGTATGGTGCTGTACCAAAGGCAGTGTAATGGGTATGCTGCTATTCACAAACTTTCAACGGCTATAGAATCTGGCAAAAAGTTTTTAGTCCTACTTCGTAAAAGTAAGAGAAAAGAGGAAGAAAGTGACACAGCCTTGGTGCTAGCAAGACTGCACAACAAAAGAAGTGAATACAAGGAAGCACAAGAATATCTTCAGAAAGCACTTACCATCAAGACAGAAATAGGAAACGTGTTTCATTCTGTCAGAGAAAATGCCAAGGCTGAAAAATATCTTCAGAAAGCGCTTACCATTAAGACAGAAATTGGCAACAAAGACGGAGAAGAGTCATGCTACATAGGCCTAGGAAACGTGTTTCATTCTGTCGGAGAATATACCAAGGCTGAAAAATATCTTCAGAAAGCACTTACCATCGAAACAGAAATTGGCGACAAAGACGGAGAAGTGTCATGCTACATAGGCCTAGGAAACGTGTTTCATTCTGTCGGAGAATGTACCAAGGCTGAAAAACATCTTCAGAAAGCACTTACCATCGAGACAGAAATTGGCGACAAAGACGGAGAAGCGTCATGCTACATAAACCTAGGAAAAGTGTTTCAATCTGTCGGAGAATATGCCAAGGCTGAAAAATATCTTCAGAAAGCACTTACCATCAAGACAGAAATTGGCGACAAAGACGGAGAAGCGACATGCTACATAGGCCTAGGAAACGTGTTTTATTCTGTCGGAGAATATGCCAAGGCTGAAAAATATCTTCAGAAAGCACTTACCATCGAGACAGAAATTGGCGACAAAGACGGAGAAGCGACATGCTACATAGACCGAGGAAACGTGTTTCATTCTGTCAGAGAAAATGCCAAGGCTGAAAAATATCTTCAGAAAGCACTTACCATTAAGACAGAAATTGGCAACAAAGACGGAGAAGAGTCATGCTACATAGGCCTAGGAAACGTGTTTCATTCTGTCGGAGAATATACCAAGGCTGAAAAATATCTTCAGAAAGCACTTACCATCAAGACAGAAATTGGCGACAAAGACGGAGAAGCGACATGCTACATAGGCCTAGGAAACGTGTTTTATTCTGTCGGAGAATATGCCAAGTCTGAAAAATACCTTCAGAAAGCACTTACCATCAAGACAGAAATTGGCGACAAAGACGGAGAAGCGTCATGCTACATAAACCTAGGAAACGTGTTTTATTTTGTCAGAGAATATGCCAAGGCTGAAAAATATCTTCAGAAAGCACTTACCATCAAGGTTTATATTCTTAGGAATAACTTAATTAGACCCAGGCCCTCGCGGCTCGTCAGCTGTTTTCTTCACGGCGCTAGTTGTCATTTTATATCCTTGTCAGTTCGCTCGTTCGCTGTAACATCAATTTCAGCATTTCGCTCCAGTTTCTTCAGTCTTTTAGCCTCTTATTATGTCTCAAGCCGCCGGAAAACGTCGCACTCGAGTACCTGTGCTGCCTGCAGGGTTCGTTTACGATTTGCCTTCCCTCGCAAGACCGCAAAACAGCGCTACGAATGGCACTCCATCGCTAGACCAATCTCCTTCGCACGAGGTTCACACAACGCCTCGTGTTGAGACCACAGCTCCGGTTTCTTCTACTTCTGCGCCTGGCAATTCCCCCTCCTTACATTTGCTGAATCTACAGATTGAAAAGCAACAGCTGGAGCTTCGCCTCCTTGAGCTCGAAGCTCAATCAAGAGCTCGGGAATTGGTTTCATCCAGCCCGGCCGCCAACACGCCTCGAAACATTCCTTCTTTGGAGACCGTTCGTGGAGGAGTTAACTCCGGTAAGTCCCAAGGTCAACTCGACCACAATACACGCATCGTTAACCCCCAAGAATGGCCTCATCTTCACGTTCCTTTCGGTCTGTCCCGGAAGAAGTTTAAGGATTTATCGACGGCAGAATTCGTGTATGGCTATCTCGATATCTTGTCTGCTCAGCCTTCCCCTCAGCAAGCGCTCATGTCGCACCACCTCATGTCTTTAATGCGTTTGGCGTCCAAATACGACTGGGAAGCAGTGCTGTCCTTTCATGCTGCCGTGTTGGATCGCATCGAGTCGGGCCTCGCAAGCTGGGGCGACGATTTCAGCGAAATCGAGCGCTTCAACATCACAGAATCCAATCGCTTGCAATCCAAACCGGCTACTTCGCCCGCCTTTCACGCGGCTGGCTTTCGGAACAACAATGGCCGAGCTCGTACCTATTGCCGCGAATGGAACCGCACCGGTACGTGCAGTAACCCTTCGCACCAGGAAGGCGTCGAACACATTTGTGCATATTGCAAGCTCAAAGACCACACCATTGGCTCTTGCCCGACTCGCCCTCCGCCGCCCACCACAGCCGATTGACTATCTTCTCCAGCTCCCACATCTCTCCCGTCGAACAGCACGTTTTCGCCCGCTGTTTCTTCGCCTGCTCCCGCCTCAACAGCCTTATCGTCGCCTTCTTCGCAGCCCAACTTTGTTCCCGCTCCCTCTACCGCATTTTCTGGCCAACTTTTACTCTCTCGTGAACACTCGCACGCCGCAGTTATTCGTCACATTCTTTGCTCCAAGTCTCCGCTCCCGAACGCTTTTGGCACTCGAAATCCTGTTCCGTCGAAGCTGAACATTCCTGTTTGGAAATCATACCTCGAACATTACTCTGATTCTGTTGTTGCCGATTTCCTAGCCTTTGGATGGCCTATTAACTGTCACTCCGTCGTTTCTGTTTCATCTCAGCCCCCGAACCATGCTTCAGCCACCAATTTTCCGGATGTTATTGACGCCTTCTTATCTACCGAGATCGAACATTCTGCTACTGCTGGGCCATTCACGTGCAATCCTTTCCCAGCCCCCCTCCGCACGTCTCCTCTGCTAACTGTCCCCAAGGATGGCACCCAAAGGCGCGTCGTACTGGACCTCAGTTTTCCTCTTGGCTCCTCTGTTAATGACGGAATTCCCAAAGACTCTTACCTCGATCAGCCTTTCCATCTTTCACTGCCTCGTTCCGCCGATTTTGTTGACCTTATTCTCTCCAAGGGCGCTGGGTGTTACCTTTACAAGAAAGATTTGAAACGCGCTTACAGACAGATTCCAGTGGATCCTAGAGACTACATCTTTCTTGCCTATCACTGGTGCGACTCCTTTTATTTTGACGTTGTCCTCCCATTTGGTCTTCGTTCTGCAACCCTTGCCTGTCAGCGGACTACCAACGCGATTGCTCACATCTTTCACTCCTTCTTTGGCCATGACTGTATCAATTACATCGATGACTTCGGCGGGGCCGAATCCACCTTCGAAGACGCTTCACTTGCCTTCTCTGACCTGGAGCGTCTGTTCACTGATTTAGGCCTTCAGTCGTCCCCGTCCAAGGACTGTCCACCTTCCACGAGAATGGTTTTTCTCGGCCTCACTTACGACACCGTCACACTGACCATCGCAGTGCCTCCCGATAAACTTCAAGACACCGCCGATCTCATACGTGCTTGGCTAGCCGCTCCACGGTCCACTAAGTCCGACCTTCAGTCTCTCATCGGCAAGCTTTCCTACCTTTGTGCTTGTATCAGCCCTGGACGGATTTTCATGCAGCGTCTGCTTAACGAACTCCGCCAGCTTCCCACAAAACGCGCACGTTTCGTGCCCAGTTCAGACATGCTGTCCGACTTACGTTGGTGGGACAAATTCCTCTCTGTCTACAATGGTGTTTCACTTTTGCGTTCTTCCCCTTGGCCAGTAAGCGATCATTTCTTCTGTACTGATGCTTGCCTTACCGGTATTGGCGGTTTCTTTTGTGGCCGTTTCTTCCACTCCTCGTTCCCGACCTGTTTTGATCCAGCCTCTCTTTCCATTGCTTCGCTCGAAATGTTGGCCGTCACCGTCAGCATCAAGCTGTGGTCTGAGGATTTGCGCGGTCTACGCATCTTGGTTCGCACTGACAACCTCAACACTGAGCTGGCTATCAACACTGGCCGTTCCCGTGTGCCTTTTATTCAGTCGTGCCTACGCGACTTATGGTTCTACGCCTCCCTTCACGATTTTGAGCTGCAAGCACTCCATATTCCCGGTTACGCCAACATCATTGCTGATGCTCTCAGTCGTTGGGACAGTCATCCTGAGTTTCGAGACACCTTCTACGAGGCCGCTTCTCTTCACTATGACACCCTCACAGAGTACACTTGTCATTCAGACCTATTCCATTTTGACTGTCAATGGTAATCACCTCTCTATTTGGTTGCAGGTTTTCACCTTGATGACCTTCACTCCTGCGTCACCAGGATTCAAGCCTTCGCTCTGTCTGATTCTACCAAGCGAAATTATCATTCCGTCTGGAACACTTACTTAAAATTCTGCCAATTTTACTCCATCACTCCCTTTCCAGCCTCCTCATCGACCATCGCTGCGTTTATCACCCTGCTTGGCTTCTCCGTTAAGTCACATCGCACAGTCAACAACTACTTGAGTGCCCTACGGCGTTTACACGTGTTTTGCCATTTCGAGACTTCAGCCTTCGATGACATCCATGTCAAGCTTACCCAAAAAGGTTTGGAGAAGTCTATGGTTCACCTTCCTCATCGGAAAGCACCTCTGACCCCAGCCATCTTGCTACAATTTTACCACCATCTTAATGTTCGCGACTCCGCCCATCTAGCTGTGTGGTGTGCCCTGCTTGTCGGCTTCTTCTCCTTCTTCAGAACTGCCAACCTCGTCCCGCAGTCCTTTGACAAGTTCTCCTCTCATCATACATTGTCCAGGGGCAGCATCACTTTTGCCACCTCAGGTGCTCTCCTCACAGTCACCCGGACAAAAACACGGCAGGCCGGCGATACAGCACTCGTGGTACCAGTTCCTCGTATTCCTGGATCTCCCCTTTGTCCCACCGCTGCCCTGCGATTGTTACTCGACTCGGTTTCAGCCCCGGCTGGCTTCCCGCTCTTCACATACACCACCGCTTCTCATCACCTTGACTGTATCACAGCCTCTTCTTTAAACGCTAGTATCAAGTATTTGGCGTCTTTGGTTTCTCTCAATCCTCAGGATTTCTCTGGTCACAGCCTGCGTCGTGGAGGTGCCACCTTCGCCTTCCAGTGCGGGATCCCCTCCGAGCTCATCAAAGTCCAGGGTGATTGGAGATCCGACGCCTACATGCTTTATTTGACTCTGCCTTTGGCAGACAGACTTGTGCTGTCTCATGTTATTTCTCAGCACATTCAGCTGTTATAGTTTAGTCTACTTTTAGTAGCCTGCATAGTTATTGACACTGCCTCTTTGGCGGACAGGCTCGTTTTGTCCTCAGCACGTTAAGTTGTTACGGTTCAGACATCGTTTTGCCAGTTCCCCACATTTATTTCTTTGTTTTGGCACAGATTTCATTGTTATGGTTTTTTTCATAATTCGCTTTGCTTATGTCTTTCTCCTTTTATTCTTATCGTGCCATGTTATCTATTTTCTCTCCCCTCTGCTTCCCCTCTGACTTCGCCCCCCTCTGTGAATCCTTTGGGCCTCTTTCTTGGTTTGGGGTCTCCTCTCGAGGCCTCGGGTCCTCTCGCTCGTTCAATAAAGATGCCCAAACGGATTCACTGGTGGTTGATGTCTCCGGGTGAGTGGGAGGGAGACCAGGGGATAATTGTTTATATTCTTAGGAATAACTTAATTAGACCCAGGCCCTCGCGGCTCGTCAGCTGTTTTCTTCACGGCGCTAGTTGTCATTTTATATCCTTGTCAGTTCGCTCGTTCGCTGTAACATCAATTTCAGCACCCTCCCTCCCTCCCTGGGGTCTCCTCTCGAGGCCTCGGGTCCTCTCGCTCGTTCAGTAAAGATGCCCAAACGGATTCACTGGTGGTTGATGTCTCCGGGTGAGTGGGAGGGAGACCAGGGGATAATTACAGAAATTGGCGACAAACACGGAGAAGCGACATGCTACACAAACTTAGGAAGCGTGTTTCATTCTGTCAGAGAATATGCCAAGGCTGAAAAATATCTTCAGAAAGCACTTACCATCGAGACAGAAATTGGCGACAAACACGGAGAAGCGACATGCTACACAAACTTAGGAAGCGTGTTTCATTCTGTCAGAGAATATGCCAAGGCTGAAAAATATCTTCAGAAAGCACTTACCATCGAGACAGAAATTGGCGACAAACACGGAGAAGCGACATGCTACACAAACTTAGGAAGCGTGTTTCATTCTGTCAGAGAATATGCCAAGGCTGAAAAATATCTTCAGAAAGCACTTACCATCGAGACAGAAATTGGCGACAAACACGGAGAAGCGACATGCTACACAAACTTAGGAAGCGTGTTTCATTCTGTCAGAGAATATGCCAAGGCTGAAAAATATCTTCAGAAAGCACTTACCATCGAGACAGAAATTGGCGACAAACACGGAGAAGCGACATGCTACACAAACTTAAAAAGCGTGTTTCATTCTGTCAGAGAATATGCCAAGGCTGAAAAATATCTTCAGAAAGCACTTACCATCGAGACAGAAATTGGCGACAAACACGGAGAAGCGACATCCTACACAATCCTAGGAAGCGTGTTTGCTAAGGTCGGAAAATGGGCCAAGGCGGAAGAATATTTTAAAACAGCTATTCAAATTAGCAAGGAGATTGGAGACATCAAATTGCAGCTTACGATTCACGTACAGCTAAGTTATTGTTCTTTAGCATTAACAGGAAACGCATATGAAGCTTTATCGAATCTCCGTGCCAGCATTGAGAAGTGCGAGAGAATTCTTAACTTTCTACCAAACAAAGATCGATACAAGATATTATTTTTTGATGAGCACGCGTCTCCCTATCGACTGTTTAGTTCACTGTGTTGTGCTTCTGGGAAACACTATGAGGCTTTACACGTTGTTGAGCTTGGAAGAGCCAAAGCTCTAGTAGACCTAGTATCAGATCGGTATTTTGTGGAGAAAGAAGTATCCCTCAACCCAGAATCGTTTGCTGGCATCTTGAAAGTCATCAGAGACAGTGGTAACAGAACGTGCCTATACATTTCCTACCATGGTGAAGACATATTTCTTTGGATTGTGAAAAAGTCGATAGCTTTCCAAAAAACGAAACTTTGTAAAAGCTATGTTAGCAAGCACGGAGGAATCTCTGTGGATGACCTTTTTAAAAGGGAAAGCTTATTACGAAATTTTCACCTTTTACCTCAAGAGCAATGCGAAGACCGATCACTCTTCTCCTCGTACGCCAACCAACTTACAAACGAAGCAAATCTGGAAGATAGTCTCTCATCCTTGCGTCCTCTTTTAGATGAGGAAGAAGTAATCACAGACCCTGAACCGCCAACACTGTTTCAGGTTTACAACATGTTGATTGCTCCCGTAAGTGACTTGCTAGAAGGATCTGAAGAAATCATTGTTGTTCCCGATCGCTGCTTCTTCCAAGTTCCGTTTGCAGCATTACATGATAAATGTAACCGCTATTTATCAGACACTTTCAAGATACGCATTGTCCCTTCTTTGACGACTCTCAAGCTCATTCTGGACAGTCCAGCGGGCTCTCACAGCGAAACTGGTGCATTGATTGTGGGTGAGCCAAGTGTGACGGATGTGTATTTCAAGGGAGAGTTAAGGAAACTCTGTAAATTGCCTGGCGCGAAAGCGGAAGCAGAGATGATAGCAAGACTACTACCTGAATCTCACCTTTTAATAGGAGAGCAAGCAACAAAGCAGGCGGTTCTTCAGGGGATACCCTCAGTAAGTCTCGTACATTTCGCTGCTCATGGTGACGCCGAAAGAGGAGAAATTGCTCTTACCCCTTCTGACTCTACTAAGGGGATTCCACATGAACAAGACTACTTACTCTCAATGGCCGACATTTCACAAGTTAGACTAACCGCCAAACTGGTGGTCCTTAGCTGCTGCCATACCGCACGTGGACAGATCAAAACAGAAGGCGTTGTTGGAATCGCTCGAGCATTCTTAGGATCGGGTGCACGCTCAGTGTTGGTGGCACTGTGGGCCTTACAAGACGATGCAACAGAGCAGTTCATGAGAAGATTCTACGAAAACCTTGTCCAAGGAGAAAGTGCAAGTGAATGTCTTCACCGGGCCATGAAGTGGATGCGAAATAACGGTTTCTCTGAAGTGAGGCAGTGGGCACCTTTTATGCTGATTGGGGATGACGTGTCATTTCACTTTGGTAAAGAAAAGTGAAGGTAATTGCTTTCTGATAATTAGGGCCATAGGAAATCTGCCAGGTCTTATTGTATTTTAGTTTTATCAACTTGGGTACATTTCGTCCTTTTAAGTTCTAAATAAAAAGCAGTATTTACCCTTAAAAGCCACATTATTGACTACACCTGAAGACAGATTTTACTATGACTGAGGTAAAATATCAATCAACCGCTTTTTAACATCGAAGATACGAAACAACACAATTATTCGACCCCACTTCTGTACTTATCAGTCAAAAATCACAACCTATGCATATGTGGGCTTTGCATAAAAAAAAAAATACTCTAAAGCCCCGTATTCCTACAGTAACACAGAATGATTTTAAATCTTTTCTCTTTTTCCTGATATCAGGAAGGCACAAATAATTTAATATTATTTTATTTGTTACCGCTCAATATGAACGTAAGGGTTTGCTGACAAACTGTTTTCTTTCTGAATATAATGGGATGTGAATTCCAGAAATGAAACCAAAACAAACAGCTTAAGGTAGTTTTTGTTTGATATAAAGATAATCGGAATAAAACTCATGTTATGGCGGAGACCTAGATCTGAGAATTGATCGAAAGCAATGAAAACTACAAATTGTGGACTGTGTATGGAGTTTTGACCGTAACTAGAGGGATTTTTGCGGACACTGACTGAAGTACGGCAGTACACTGGTTCTAAACTTGGACCAAAGAGGAAAGAGCGAGATTCGAAAGGTCGTCAAGGAAAGAAGTTTCAAACCTGTTTTAGCTGTGCACCCTGATTTTCATTTATGATGGAAATAATTGGAAAGTTTTAGCGGTGAGATAAACTTAAATAAGTAAACCTCTTCCTTCACGATAAAGCCAGAGGATCCCTCTTCCATGTCAGTAAAATGAACCTAAATGCCACTTACCCAGCTGGAGTCTTTTGAAATGAATATATGTGTTTTAATAATTTTTATGTTTCTTATACATTACGGTTACAGGTATTACACTAACGACACACCATGGAATACCCAAACAGCCTTTCCGCAGAATTCAAATGATGTAGTCCCTGGCGAAAAATGTAGAGGGTCAATCCATTCACCAACACCAACATCAAATACTTTATTTGCACGACCATGAAGGAATTACTTAACAGTATTGCAAAAGCTATTAGTTTAAATTTAACTAATTATTACGTGCAAAAGATTACAAAACGTTACAGTTCTTCATTCATTCATTGGTATTAATTTGGCTCTTAATTCAAAGCATTGCGAGATAAATGAAACTAATTGACAGTTAATTAAATAATCAGAAGAATTCATAAGAAGAGATATTAAAGTATCGTGTGAATCATGCAGCATACGACATAACCCAGACTAGCAGAATTAAAAGAGAACTGACTTGTTTGGCTCAGCTGTTCATCTTTGGCAGTCTTAGCTTATTTTTTTTTCCCGCTGGTTTTAATTTTTTGTGACTCACAAAACACACACACACTACACACACATACACACAATCACGTACATAGTTCATCGGTAGCTCGGAAAATGATACAACTGTAGTTGCGACACGAAGCATCAGGATTAGATAATTTCCCTAACTCAGATTTAGGTAATCTGTTAACTTACTTCCTTAATTAGTCTCTAAGGCTACAACTAAAACATACTTTTCACGTAAACGAGATTCTGAATCGCAAATTGCAGTTTGATTACAATGCAAATACCATTGCAAGGTTTATAGTTTAGTACAATTGTATATATTTTAGAGCTTTTGGGAACATAGAGGTAGTAGTTTTGCACCTTGCATTATGAAATAAGGTTTGACTTAAGGGCCTTATTACATGGAGGTGGGGGACCCCAGAAAGTGAGGTAAAATGTGGCGGGTCACCCCACCTATCATGTGAACCTGATCAAATTAACATGATAGATTATATGGACAGGCGGGTTACCCCACCTAAGCGGGTTACCTCGCCTACCTGAGGGCCCCCACCTCCATGTACACAGGCCCTAAGTCAACTAAAAGCCTATCGAAACCAAACTCCAAACTAGCCATTGCAGTTGTAATAATGTTCATAGTGCCTGAGCATAGGTTAGTATGTTAGTATAGAAGTCAAGAGTAGTACATACTTTAAGAGTGTGTCCATGAGAGAACCAGGCAGGAGGTGATAATGCTCAAATCACGGATTTCGCTCAAACTTGGCACAGTTGATGGGTGTGGTGAGATATTAACCTCGACAAAAAATAAGGTCGCAATATTGAATTCCCTGGGATTTACAGGGACCCCCCCTAAAAACGACAAAACCTACTCATTTTTGCATAATTAATTAGCTGACTTTGGTTTGGCTGTTCAACAAGAAGAAAAGACAACTTCAAATCTAATCAACTTTATCATCTTCTATGTTTATCAAACTTAATGCTCAGTAATTTATTTTTACTCTCTAATTCGATCTCTTCCTATTATTTAGCCTAAAGTAAGGACATCTTCTCACTGTTTTGACCAAACCCTAAATTTAAGGTATTTTAGTGGCTAACATCTCCCATGAGCAACAACCTATGTACTTAATTCTCACATATTCTTTGAAAGACATCTTTAAGGTTATCAAATCAATCATAAAATATTTGGGCAATCTCATACTTTATCAATAATGACGTATTATGTACATCTGACTTGACGCTTATTTGTCATTTGACCAAAATTGGAAGAAACGTAACATTCGTTTTTTTAAACAAAAATAGCACAAAGTTGACGAGAAGTCACAAATCAGATGCGTCATTATCGATACTAATAGCGGAATTGTTAGAACGTGTCACCTGAGGCATGTTTTCTGTGTTATTTATAGACGTTTGGATGGATATTTTATGGAACGCTTGAGTAAACACAAGGAGCAAAAGAGTTAGTTCAAAACTTCGATCGGTCCAACTTGTAGGTGAAACAAGACCCAACAAGGATAAAAGATAGTGAATAAATGTTACATACACGTCTCTCAGGTGCTTTAGTCCAGATTTGCTGCTCCAGTTTCGTCTGGTCCTTTGTGGCGTTACTTCGTGACGAGGTAATGAAATCGAAACATCTTGAAACATTGCAGAATTAAAAGTGTCGGCTTTTCACCGAACATTCGAAGTCTTTGAAATAAGTTGTAGTCAGAAAGAACAAAATCATTCTCAAAGGACAAGAAGGATCACTGACAATCCGTCTATATCTACAGAAAACAACCACCTGCTCGAACACCCTCCATCTTTGACTTTAGACTCTGCCAAAAAGATGGAATCTGTGACGCCGGACTACCGGACTCCGGAATGCGGAATACGCTATCTATTGTTGTACGCGCCAATATCCTGTTATAACTGGTGTGTTGAAAATAGGTTGTGAAAGTCGTGTTACTTGAAATTTTGAGTTTATTCGATGTTGACATTAATTACCATGATAATAATGGTCCATAATAGCCCTTTTTGTAGTCAGACCGTGCCGTGCAATTTTTAGACAATTAATGACTTGCCACTGGGTATAATTACTTACTTAGTTGTATTTTAATCCTCGTAGTCTTACAACTATACAGGTTGGTATCTGTATCTGGGTATATTATTGACTACAAAAATATAATAATAACCGTTTATAAACGTGTTGAGGAAAAACTTCTGAGGAATACAAAAGACCCAAAAGGGGGCACTAATACATTGCAAAAAAAGTCGGCTAGACTTCTTTGGCTATAAGGAAGGTGTAAGAGAACAGTTTCTTGAACACAGACTAATACACTATATTCACTTCTCATTTAAGCTGTCATTTGCGGATTCATACAGTAGATTAAGTTCTCTTAACGGACACTCTCGTATATAGCGAATAGCTCTACTTACGACCGCCATCACAAAATCCCGTTTCAACTCCCACACAAACTCTGGATTTTTACATTCCCGTAGGCGGCCGCGGACACTTAAAGGGTTTACCGGCGAATTAGATGTTAGCTTTGATTTAAAGCTCTCCTAAGCAGACACTCGAAAGAAATCTTATCCGCCTCTGAATGTTGTTTTTTTTTTTCATATCATGTCCACAGTCATATGGCTGTTTGTCACTGTTATGAATCATTCTTATATATCCGTTTCAGAGTTACCGTTTTTCCACATACTCGTCTGGTTACACTTGAAAATACAAACTGAATTGTATGCTTTTACCTAAATTACAACAAGGCAAGAACATCAGCGTAACCATACACTAAAAAACAGATTTTCGCTATTACCAGTGTTAATTTGTAGCTGGGAGGAGCTTCCGTAAGCGGCTATCTAACCTTTACACCACTTTTAAAGTGGCTGAATTCCACTTGCATAACTATGCTGCATATGAGATTCATTCTTGTAAGCGGCCAGATCCAGTTAAGGACACCTTTTTCTCCTCCCGAGGGCGCCCTCTTACGAGAGCTTCCACTGTATTACAATTTTAGGATTTCTCTTACATTTTAACAAATTTTCGCTTAACGAGGCACAGTCGAACCTACGTGCGACCACCCAACTTAAGTGACCACTTCCCAATAAGCGATCACTTATTCAGCACACCAAATATTATCCAGTCAAAGCGCTTATAGTTGGAACCTCCCGTAAACGAACACATCCACATCCAGTAAACGACCGCGACCACTTTTTACGATGACAGTCTGATTGAGAATTTTTCCATGATGCAATGGTCTGATCTCTGCGTTCCCTGTATGTCCTAAGCTACTCGGAGTATGAGAGGAACTTCAGAAACAAATTAGATTTATCTATAGTATATTGTAACTTAAAAATTGCATGTAGTACATTCACTCCAAAAAGTAGATTTGTCCGCACTTTTCCTCGTTAAAGACCTCCTGCAGTTCGACTCTCGTAAAACCCAAATTTTCCTTGGGCAACCCCAAGGGCATTATTTACTGGGTGTCTTCCGACTACGCACGGACCGCAACATCAAATGTCTGTAACTTAATTGTTGTGTCTGTCCATAATTCAACATCTGCCTGCCTCAGCACGGCACACGGCTGGGCACTAAACTGGTTTTGGTGCCCAAGAG